GCATGTGGAAAAACTTGAATAAAGTTGAGTTTTATGTTTATCTCTCCATGAGTACGTGAGTACATGTTTTTAAAAAACAACAAGTATGGTCTCACCTAATCCCATAAAAAGTGCAAGAATTTGCATGGCTGTTGTATGAAGATAAATTACTTACCATAGGCAGCTGATAATTTACTTACCATAGACAACCGACAGCTTAGGAAAAAGACGTAAATTCTTCCAAATGTTTGTCTCATGTCTGAAGTACAAGAAGAAAGTTGCCACCACCTCGTATCACTTGTTTAAATACTGCTCAAATATGGAATTGGTTATTACAATTGGTAAATCCACAAAGGATACTCCTAGAGCCTAGTAACTTCTTTTTTGAATAATGGGCTCTCACCATTATTCTCAAAAAGTATGTGGGGGACTTATAACATATGTTCTATGGTTTTCCTAGAAAGAGTATATTAAGTTCCATTGAAGACCAATCACAAATATGGAGAGCATTAAATCAATGATATTAGATAGAGTAGCTGAATAGGCCTCTCTAGTAAAGGGATGTTGAGCAATTTCAAGATAAAATATCATTAATAAGATTCGAGAAATGATCACCTTGAGAATAGGAAGGAGAAGAAAAGAAATTCATTGGAGAACTTAGACACTTATATTTAATAAAAGTTCTTTCTTCGATAACCTAGGTCCGTGCTGAGATTGGAGGATTCTAAGAAATTCCAATGCCACAATCTTATTAACCTGCTCAAATCCTAGTGGCAATTGTACAACAAATGAAGCTGAAGCTAAGTGTGATGCTCCAAATTGTCTCTACAATACTTTATACAATACCTGTGCACTAGCCCCAACTTTTTCATCATTCTAGAGCAAAACTAGAGAAATCCCGTAGATTCTAATGGGTTCATGGAAGGTTTAGACGGCTCATAGATCTTTTCTAAAGGAAGGGCTGGAAAGATATTTTAAAACAATATAGAGGCTAGAAGGTTCTTAGCCATTTGGTTGGTGTCATGTGTATAAATCTTAGCAATTGGTTGTATGGCCTATTGTATATATACAGAGGAATACCCCTAAATTATACCTTTGACCTTGTAAGATATTGAACATTAGTGAAATACAAAGATCTATTTGTTTTACTTTGTCCCTCTTGTGTGTGAGTAGATGCTTTCTCTTGTGGGTGTTGCATACATATATTGGTTGTGCTAGTATGTAGGTGGTGCGCACTAATGTTAGCCATCTTATCATATTTGTTGGTGCTCACTTGTCTGAGGTTGGGAAGGCTGATTCCTCCTTAATGGACCAACTAGCGAGTATTGCATTCTTGAAACACGAGGCTTCACTAAGGTTGTGACAAGTAGTATCAGAGCCTTGTGTAAACACCCCGATCTAGACTGGAGAAATTGTGGATAGGTTGAAATATTCCAAGCAGACCACCCAGATATTTTGAACCATTCACCCCACCTATATCTTTATGTAAACCTAACCTCCACAAAATCAATATTACCCTAGTGGGATGAAAGGCACCAAAAAAAAACAAGGTAGACAGACTCAGAATCATCCGACATAAAGCATTTGCGGAAGGGAAGGCTCTGGTATTACTCCAATGGTCGCCAAAGCTCTGCCAAAGCCCTAAGATCAGGCGACTAAGGCACCTCAGTCAAAATAAGCATTGGGAACAGACATAAGTTTGACGATATTGTCAATGTCATTAGCGTTATACCAAATGTCATCAGGCCCTGAAACCTCAAACGGTGGGAAACATCCTAGTCAACAAGACTAATAGACGTGACGACGCATTAGGCAGAACTGGTAGGCGTGGCAAGACCATGTTGACATGGCAGATAGTATGGATTATGGTTGTCGAATTTCAGTTGGTTAACGATCAAAAGACCATATAGCCCAGGCAGCACGTCAGCTAACATTTGACGATATTGCAACTGTCTCTGGCATCATTCAGAGTAGCTTCGAGTTGTGATTGGTCCATCGGATAGAGATCAGACTCAAGAGAAGATGACAGGTGTCCAAACAAAGGTTTAAAGGTAGTTGGAAAGCCGCTGGTGCATTGTCAATGGTGCCAGATACTGATAAGATCGTATCAACTGAATTAAAGGGCAATTAATATATGTTGATCGTCATTAATACAATATTAATGACAGTGGCGATGGTCCAAGTACCTCTGCCACTATTCCAAATGTCGTCAAAATTCTGACGGTCAGAATTTTCACACAAAACCGACCCAAGGGCTGTGATGAGCATGCATTGCCTATAAATACCCCATTTTGTCTCAAACCTAAGGTCCAGAATGCTCTCTATCTTTAAGCTTAAGCAAGTTCAAAAGTTTAAGCTTAAAGTTGTGAGAGAGTACCCTAGATGTGAACCCATTTGAGCAAACATCTTTCCATCCAAGATCTATTAATCCAAGATCCAAGCTTCTAACCCCTTCAAGCTACATTTCGAAACTGAAGGCAGTTCGGATAATCCAATTTTTTGAGCTCTCTTCTTCCTATTTCTATTTGTCCCGTTAAAAATCGAAAGCTCAGGATTGACTGTGCAACCACTCGATCTGAATCAGCGCCGACTCTGCGCGTCGAGCCTAATGGCCCGGCCACAAGTGTTGCTTTCTTCTCTTTTCCCTCTATTTTGCATTTACGCCGACTTTGGGCGCCCGGCCTAAGTGTCTTTCCCTTCTCTTCTCCATCTCATTTAATGCATATCATTCTCTCCCTCTTCTTTTTACCTCTATTTTCATGTTTTGTAGCTTAGCTCATTTCTTGAATCTTATTTGTACTTTTCTTTTATCCAAGTAATTAGTTAAAATAGATAGTCTTCATGCTTTTTACTTTCTTGTGCTTTTTATATTTTGTACTTAGCTTATTTACTTCTGTATATCTCTTTTTCTTCTAGCTTGTTAATCTATTTGTGCTTATCTTCCCTTCTCTCCGTTTTAGATCTACTTATCTAAAAACCCCATCTCTGTCTCCCCACCCTTTTCGCAAATCTTCTTGTTGAGTTCTAAGGTTGAAATAAGAAGGAGGACGACGAGAGGGATGTGGCCTTGTGGCCTGAGTCTCCCTCGAAATGTAATTTGACGGGACCTATTATCTTCCAACTTTTCGATTTGTTTGCACCCGAAACCAAGGCGTGGGTGATGTTCTTTGCCTGCATTTTTTAGTATAAACACCTTGCTCGTGGGATCCAGTCAAGAGAGTAGGTCTTCGAGGCTGGGCTCCAGGAACTCAAGAACTAGATGCTGGGAGCCCTAAATGAGCTAATAGATACTCAAAAAAAAAGAAAAAAGAAGGAGCCCGTTAAGGGTAAGATGATGGCGATCTCGGTGAAGTTGTAAGATCAAGTTGATGAGCTTTGGAGAGTTGCCTTATACAAGAGAGTGGTGAGCAATGGAATCATTGTTGCCCAAGAGACACCTAAGGTACACACCTGATCCTAAAATCTTTAATTGGTCTAGGGATGCCTGAGAGTTACACGGCTTCTTGTGGCAAATAGACAGGTACTTTGAGGCCATTTCCTTACATGTCGCAACTACATCTTGTCTTCAATGTGTGATTCAATTGAAGCCATACCACAAAGACATGGAAGAACCAAGCCACATAATTTCGAAGAGGGCTCCAACAGCAATAACCTTGTCCTTTGACGAGGAAGCCGCTTGCATCCTCGCAGATAGAACAGTGTGTCAACGTGGAGTTCCACCCTCAAGGAGTACCTGGTCAAGTAGAAGGACCTACTGGATAGCAAGGCTGTTGGGAACACGCAGAGACCTTGTGGCAATTCAAGGAGCAGATTCAAAGGTTCCATGAAAGCAAGACAAAGGTGCCACCAGATTAGGTGGGGGAGAATGTGATGCCCCAATTTGTCTCTTCAATATTCTGTGTGATATGTGTACACTAGTCCCATTTTTTTCTTATCAATTTGGCCTGGAATATTTTAGAGAAATCTAGTGGATTCTAGTGGGTTCATGGAAGGTCCAGATAGTTCCTAGATCTTTTCTCAGAGAATGGCTGCAAAAACTATTCTAGAACAATGTAAAGGCTAGAAAGTTCATAGGCGTTGGATTGGTGCCATGTGTATTAATCTTAGCTGTTAGTTGTAAGCTTAGTGTCTATATGTGAGGGAAGACTCCTCATTTGTATCTTAGTGCTTCTAAGCTATTGAGCATTAATGAAACACAAAGCTTTTCCTATTCCACTTTATCCCTCTCTTATGTGTGCTTGCTGCTTTCTCGTGTATGGTACATACGTGAGTTAGTTGTACTAGTGTGTAGGTGATACTAGTATTGGTCATTTTATCGTGCTTGATGCATACTTATGCTCGTGATTGGGAAGGCTGACCCGTCCTTAACGTACCAACCAAGAAGCAAGTGTCACAAGGTTGCAGTAAAATGCTTCACTAAGGCCATGACATAAAGCACTACTTCAAGGCTTGGGATTGCTGGAAAATGCTTAAATGGATTGAGGGGACCAAGCAATCCCATGGAGATTAACCCAAATATTTAATCAATTTAGAGAGATCACTTGGAATGTAGAAAATACAGTTCATCCCTATTATAGTTATAGTGTACCATGGAGGCTGATGCCTCTGCAAAGCAGGGTACCTCACTGCAAATTTTGTTTGCCGATGGGATTTCAAGAGTGTATAGAGTTATTGACATTTTTCTATACATGTTTAACTTTTTTAGTAATGAAAGCGAAACCAGTTGATGTCAAATAAATTGTTGATGGTCCTGAGGCAAAACGCACAGGTTTAAAGAGGGGCCCCAAGCAGGAATGTCAAAGTATAATCAAAAGGAAAGGAATAGCTACGTTGAAATAGGTGGGGTTTTAGCCAACATTCACAAGAAAATTTCAGCTGGAGAGAGAGAGAGAGACAGAGAGATGTAAAACACCCCATCATTGTACTACACTTCATTTACAAATGAATAGTTGTGTTTAAATAGGTGGGGTTCAGACAACATTCACAAGAAAATTTGAGTTGGAGCGAGCGAGAGAGAGATGTAAAGTAAAACACCCCATCTTTGTACTATAATTCATTTACACAAGTCCCCGTTGAACAAATACAAGAAATCGCTGCAATTATCGGATGGTATTCAAGACTAGTTCTGTATGGCATCCAAGCCTTCTTAATCTCTCTGCGATTCACATAATTTACATTTTGGGGACACTTAAAAAAAGGCCAACCCTTCTTTCTCAACGTTAAAACAAAAAAACAAAAAAATGCACAATGAGCAGAAAATTCAACTGTCATTTCACAGCCTGTTACTCCCACGACTTACTATTGTACACAGATAATAATATACCTCACAGCCGCTGCTATAATGGGACCTCAACCATCCCCAAGTGACCGCAACAAAATATCATAAATGAATCATAAAAGATCAAAAGAACATCAAAAAATCAAGGAGAGAGAGATCAATATTGAGATAAAGTGAGCTAAGAAGAAACAAGGTTTTGTTGTTGTTGCTGCAGTTGTGCAGTTGGCGTACCCAATGATGAGTATTTCTTTTGCAGCCTGCCTCTCAGCAGCCTAATTTTGGCATCGACACGAGCAGTGAACCCAATCTTTGTTTTTTGGCGAGCCTTAGAACTCTCCCTAGTCCACATGTGTGCATCCTCCACATCCTTTTTATAATACTTAATCTCTTGGATCACATGGTGATCCATTGGATTAAAGGACCTTTGAAATGATATGTGGGCAAGATATGGAAGATTACAAGCCAACGTTATAAGAAGAGTAGCTGCCCAATATATGGGTGCAGGTGCAAGAGCTTCTATAAGAATTTTATAAGACCTCCCGGAGATGAGAGGGGAAGCCACACCATATAAGAAGAGGAAAATGTACCATGTCGCTATGCTACCCCATATGAAGAGGTGCTGTATCCAGGTGAAGTGGCTGATGGTAAGGGCAATCTGTAAATTTACGGTCCATATTACACAGGTGAACATGGCGGCCCCGACCGAGGACATGTCAGGAGTCTGGCCATCAGAGCGGAAGGCTTGATCATAGAAAATGTTGATGCTGAAGAAGAAAGTGATGAGTGAGGAATAGAGGCCATTGGTCATCCACCCAAAGATGCGGTACCAGTCAAAGAACACGTTTCGAGGGCCTTGTTGGTACAGAGCTGGGAACTGTATAAAGATAGAAAAGAGAGAGAGAGAGAGGCAGAGGCAGAGAGAACAAATTAGAGAGATTATCAATCTGTGTTGCCATGGCAACAACTCACGCATAAAGCACAACCTACATGTGTAACAGAGAGAGAGAGAGAGAGAGAGAGAGAGAGAGAGAGAGGAGGGAGGGAGGGAGAGTAGTGGACGACGACCGACCGTACGACGAACGACGACGACTACACGAAGAAACGAAACTAACTCCGTCGTAACCTAAACCGTAAAACCGTAAC